GGCACAATAAAATTATATAAAAAAGAAATCAAAGAAAAAGGCATATGGAATTCAGGATGAGGGTTCCTTTAGGTGGAGATGGATTGAAAGAGTACCATACCATATGTTTTATATGGATAATTATCAAGATGCATGCTTTCATTTTGGGTGGTGTTTTCTCAAGCATTGATAGCCCCATAAAATAATACATAAATTCTTAAATAAAACCACTGTTAACTAAGAATACTGATAGAGATAATTTTGCACACCTGAAATACAAAAAGGAATGGAATAGAAAAAATAATTTTCCATGACCTTGAGAGGTTATAGCTGGAAGTTATAAATCCAGATAATCTAATCTCTGCTGTACTAGAAAATGAACATCAAGTCTCTGTGACTTAACATAATGAAAGTTTATTTCTTATACAAAGTGTAAGGCTAGTGCTACTGGCTACTACTCCTCTGAGCAAAGACTTATGAATTAGGGTCCTTCAATCACATGACTCTACCATTCTGTAGCCCTTTCCTTTAAGCTACCCATATGAAGGAAACAAGCAAGTGAAAAAAGACAGAGGGGAAAACCCTCTGGCAGTTTTACAGGATCAGGCCTGGAAGATGGAACACTTCAACTGCGGCCCTATCTAGTTGCAAAAGGACTGGAAAATCGCATTTTTTAGCAAATTTAAAAGTACGATGAACAGGTAGCATTGTCTCTGTCATAAGAGATGTTTACGATAACAATATCCAATATTTAAGTTATTACCTGTATTCTGCTAAGAATAATCTCCCTCTAGTACCTAGTATTTGCTATCCTATAATCTCATTCGGGAATAATATTTTTCTAATATCTGATAAACACACGCACATTGACCATAGGAATCTCTTTCTGGCCTCCTGTGTGATTTACTAAGTAGTTGTTTTTCTTGGTGTAAAAATTAGTTCAGAAAGTCATAGTCATATTTATATATGATAACACACCCTTCATCACACTATTCTTAGGTGTTTAGAAAGTTGAAATATTAACATTTTTGCCCTGAAAGCTATAATTTCAACATGTTTCTCTTGATTTAACAGAAGCATAATAATTCACTTTGCTCCTATAGGAAAAAGATAAACAGAGCAAGGAGATAAATATAACCAAGAGTTACAGACTCTGCTAGAGAAAACAGTGCAGTAGAAATAATGCTGAATTTCTAATAACTCTTTAATGTGCAGCTTGACAGATTAGGAATAGCAACCCAATAAGGCAACACATAAGCCAAATATAAAGTAGGTATTTTAGGTAAACGTAACTGAGAAAAAATAATCAAATGTTAAAAGCAGAAGATAAGGGTAGAGATTAAGAGCAGGCACAATTTTCAACTTTGTCGCTATGAAACATTGAGTAAGCCTTGGTTTCAGATGCCTTCAAAAATACCTGGCACATAATAATTACTGAATAATTGCTGGCTAATGTCTTTATCTGAAATAATTGGACACAGTTTCAAACAAAAAAAAATCAGAGCACTGCAGCATCTGGAAGTTCCTTTTTTTTTTTATTCCTTATAGCCCCTCTTTCCAACCACAGATTAACAACTATCCTTATGCCTTATGGTGTAGTTTGATTAATTTTGCCTCCTCACTAAATGCAATCTTGCAGTATATGTTCTGTGTGTCTACCTTATTTTGCTCAACATTGTATTTGTGATTAATAGCTGTAGATGGAGTGTTCTCATTTTCTTAGGGTAGCCCACAGTATGGAGATATCACAATGTATTTATCCACTGTTCTGCTGATGACCTTTTAGGTAGTTTCCAAATTGAATTTTTAAAAACTTTTTTGTAGTACTAGGGATTGAACCTAGGGTCTTTGCACTGAGCTAGATCCGCATCCCTTTTTAATATTTTATGTTGAGACAGTGCCTCACTAAGTTACTAAATTTGCTGGCTGGTCATGAGCTTGCAATCTCCCTGCCTCAGCCTTCCAGAGTTCTGGGATTAGAGATGTGTATCATCATGCCTGGATAATTGGGATGCCTTTAAATAAGCTTCTCTGAACCTTCTAACACATAGTTTTGGTTAACTCAATTTGTGTTGAGTGTATAGCTAGGAATGTGACTGCTGGGATCACAGATTATTCATATAACTACATTTAAGACGCAGTGGTGAAAAGTCTCCCAAGTTTGCTGAAGCAATTTATTTCCATTATGAATGCATGCGAATTCCAGGTATCTCAACACTTCACCTATATTTTCGATTGTCCATGATTTCATTTTAAACATTCTAGTAAATGTGTCATAATGTTACATTGTGGTTTTAACTGACATCACTGTTATGTATAGTGAAGTCATTTATCTTTTCACAAGTTTCTTTGACACGTGGTTATCCTCTTTTTGTGATATGTTTAAAACAGGCTTCTTTAAAATATACTTTAATGTTTGTTATTATTATATCTGATTGGATAGACAAAGCAGACTTACCTACCTGGCTTGTACTGCACAAAATTACACTGGTCCTGAGATGATTTATCAGTAAACTCATGAGTTGTAGTTAGACAGGTTTCTCTTAACCAAAAATACTAGCTTATTTAAAAAAAAAACAAATTACCTTACTTCAATGTCTGGTTGTTTTCAACTCTGTAGCTTAGATTAATAAAAATAAAAACAAAACGTGAATAAAGATTAACATCCTTGACTCCATTTATACTGCTGTAAATAACATTGACAAGGAAAGACGTGCAAACAGATTTAAAAGGAAGCACAGCATGCCTCTCTCAAACACTTCCCCTTTCCTAGGCACTCTGCTGAGTACATATGTTACAACATCCCCAAAGGAAAGTTATCATTTTAACTTCATTTTTTAAGAAAGGCATTGAATATCAGAAAAGATGAGGCATTTTCTTGAGGCCATGCACCGATAGGCCAGGATTCAAACCAGCTCATATTATAGCAAGTATCTCTATTATGTTCTCCACTTACTTTTTTAAACAAAAGGCAGACAGGCAACATGGCTGAATCATGCCAGAAGAGAATTCCTACCACTTCCTAGTTGTGGAAGCTTAAATAACTGTCATTTGGTCAAGTGGGACTCAATTTCCTCTGCCTAAAATAAATTATTCAATGTTGAGCCTAGATCCTCTTTCAAAAATTGATTGTATGATTTTAAACACTTTTGAGTTCTACTACCAGAACTAATGCCATTCTCTTTTAGGTACAAGAAAAAATTGCTATCTGTCCAGGTCCCTGAAATAAAACCTTCTCTCTCCAGTCGTCCCTGATTCTTTTAGGCAGAATTCAAGTGTTTCTTACAGTCTTTAACACATTATCTATCACACATGCTTTTTATGTGTTTCTCTAGCACTACTTAAGGACAAGTACTGGGTCTTACCAATCTATACTGCCCTGGCACTCAGCACTATCTGGAACATAGTAAGTGATAAATGATAGATAAGTGAATAAATAAACAAATATTACTGTCTCTAGTTGCACAGGTTGAATATCCAAAAGCCAGATTTGCAATCTCTATGATTCTTTCCTTTTTTTTTTTTTGTATTAAATTCTTTTGTTGTTACATTATAGGTATACAACACAATTACATTTCTCATTGGGAATTGTACCTTTATATAATGCATCTTGGTTCTTATTTTTTCCCCATTCCTAGCCCTCCCTTCACACCCTCCACCCTTCCCTATTTACAAAGACTTTATTTCCATTTTTTCCATTTCTCATCATTTTTTCCTTTCCCTTCTTTCCTTTCCACTGCCCCTCCCACTACCCCTACCCCTTTGGACCTTTTCTTCCTATTTTGCATTATCGATTATCATTCTAATCATTGGTACATTTTAGGTATACAATATAATGACGTTCTATGATTCTTTCTTATTATCTTCCATTTTAGGTTTCCAAAATAACAAGCAAGGTTGTGACTACAAGTTGAAGTCCGAACTCAGCTTGATCCACCGAGAAAGCTGAGTATAAATTACACCACAGAGGTTTTTTGAACTACAGTACTACAGTAAAAAGGGCCAGGATTACATATTCCTATATCAGTTAGTCATTGGTTAAATTGAAAGAGGGTCTTTTTAAAAATTTGTATATTTTTATTTTTTGTGGGTTTTTTTTTTTTTTTTGAGGCAAGTTCTTGCTATGTAGTTCAGGCTGGTCTCGAACTCATGGTAGTCTTCCTGCCTCAGACTCCCAAGGACTGGGATTATAGGTGTGTGCCACCATGCTGGCATGGAGGCGGGTGTTAAACTCCAGGCTTTCCCTGCTCATCAGAGGCAGAACACACAGAGCAGGTACCCTGCGAGCAAGTGTTAAAGAGGACCCAGGTGTTGGCACTTGGAAGTGAAGCTCAGAGAAGGGGAAATGGTTCTGAGCACACAGTCTGAATTTGAGTGGATCTCACTTCTATTTTCACTTGAAAACTATTAATCATCTAGTTAATTTAGGAGACACTGACTTGATTCCACATTTTATATCTGAAACATTAGCTCACATTGTTCTCTTCTTTAACCAAAGTATTTATGTCTTAATTACCATGACATGCCTTGGATCATTTCAGAAGAACCAATCTTCCATATACTTACGTTGGTATCAGTTCATTTTTTTCCAGAACCTGGAAGAGTATGAATTCTGCCCTACCACTTCCAAAATCATTTCGTGCAGTAAATGTTACTGTCATTTTACCTGCTTCAACCTTGATATCTAAAGCTATTTTTTTGTGTATTCAATCTAAAGAGGAAAGTATTGCCATAGGTCATGTGTCCTGGATATCGTGAAGCCTGATATAAATAAACACGAAAAGTGGCAAGTGTTCTATTTCAGTAGAATTGTATGCAGAGATCAGAAATTTAGCAGGAAATAGGGCTTTTAACTCAGAAGTTCTGGTCAGATTTCAATAAAATGTAAGGTTTAGGAGAACAGGGAAACTGACAAGGTATATCCACAATGATGCTCCTAGTTTTTCCAGCCATGCTTGGGCACATAGTGGGTTGTCAGTGCATATTTCCCAAATCAATTATGATTTTACTATTTTACCTACCTGAAATGCTGTTCTGTGGTTTTATTTAAACTGGTTGTCAGCATGGAATGACTTCTGCATTCTCTCCTGGAAGTGGGTGAATTTCCATGGTGAGCAATTCCTCTATATACAGTTTGCAAATCATTTTGGGAACCTTCCAAATGAAAGGCACTGTATAAATATACCCTCCCACCAGCAGCCAGCCGGCTTTCCACTGGGGATGCATTTGCATCGCTTATGTACATAGTGTTTCATTTGGGGCATTGTTTTTATTTTTATGACCATAAAAGAAATATTCACAGTATGAACAATAATGTAAACTGCATTCAAGAAGATATATATTTGTATATTTTCATGATTCAAAACTTAGAAATCTGAAAGAAAAGCAGGCATGGCATTTTTCTTTCCTATTGCTGTTTGCTTTTTCAAAGCATTCTTTATTATTCCTGAACTTTAGGGTGGAATTTTGCTGAAATGCTCAAGTCTTTGTCTGTACTTCATTTGAGTTTATATGGTGGTGGGCTCAAATGAATGTTGCTGGTAAAAGGCCCGAAAATGAAGGGTATTTGATTTTGTATTTATTCATGTCTGTAATGAGTTTGCTTTTGCACAGCCCTTTTGTGAATGGAGGTCCCTTTAAGGAGAGAAAAAGAAAAGGAAGCAACCTCAGGTATAAAATACCTTCTAAGCAACTTATCCAAACAATGGGGACATTCACAGATGGGAGAGACTGAAGTGATGTTTTTTAGTCTTCATAACAAAAGGGGGGCTGATTTCTTACAGATTGTTACTGGGGAGATAGACTGAATTCATATCGTACAGTTTAATGAACTTTGAAATAAATTGTCAACAGAGTTAAATCAAAAATTCTGTAAATTATGTATTTTCCTAGAATCATCTGCATACAAAAATGATGTGAATTTATCTTAATTTATGCATTTCCATAATTAATTACTTTTAAATTGAATGAAATATCCCACTCCAGATATATTTTCTAGCAATGAGTATATTCTCAAATTAAGGAGTTCCTTAAAAAGAGGAGCTACTCTGAATATTCAGCGTAATTTTGTATAACAAAACTCCTCAAATGGTAGGTTAAATCAAACTTTCCCTCACTTCACTGAGGAAAGATGAGGAAAGTGTGGAAATTTAAACTTAGGTTACCAATAGTTAGACATAGAATCAAAAATAATTTGAGTTCATTTTCTGTGTTCACAACTCTCTGTCACAAACACCAATTTTTATATAATATTTCCTCACTTTTCACAGCTAAAACAATGTGATTTTAAAAATCTCATCTATAATGTAGAAAAATTAGGAAGTAGCTCACTCATGTTACTTTGTGGCTTATAAAGTAGATGTTATTGTTTTCTCCTCCTCAGTCAGAATATTATTCTAAGATCTATTTTCATGTTCCCAATACATCAACTTTGTTTCATTAATCTGATCTAAATATCTTGACACTTTTCTTATTATCATAAAATAAAACAGCAGTTTCTTCAATTGAGAAAAGCTACAAGTATGGATTGATCTGCAGCCTGTTTTTACTACAAACCCCATAATGCTGTGCATTATAGCCTACAATCCCCATACTGCAGCACCAAACTTACTGTTAACTATCCTGTTACTGGCAAAGAAAGAAACAGAACATCTGAAAAGAACTATGTAATATGCAAGAAGTCTACTTGAGTAGTAAATTATTAATTTTTTTCAGTGTTTTGAGATTTACTTGGCCTTTCCTTTATTAAAAAAAGCATACATATTGATATGTACATTGCCTTTTCCTGAATAAAATGTCATATATTCTCAATGTGTCAAGGTGTATACTTCCCATAACAAACCCTTTGCTTTTACACCCTTCATTGAGTCCCGCTCCCCCACCTCTTTTTGAAGGGAGGTCAGCTTTATTCAGATTTTAAAATAAAATAACAATACATTGTTTAATCCTCTAAACATCTGCAAATGAGAATTCAGTGAGGTAATTAAAATTCTTAATTAGATGCACCTTGCAGCTGCTGTTAGTCTTAATTGGCAATAATGCAGCTACATTTTGTTCTGAGACATATCTTCAGAAGAGTTAGAGAGAAAACTGAAGGGAGGCAAGAGGAAAATATTCCCACACAGTTCAAGACAGTTCGCACAAAGAGGATCCCATGGCAACAAACAGTGAGGCCCACAGTTGGCTCTGTAGGATCCAGGAATAGACAATGCTTCACCTCGGATTCAAACAAACACTTCCCTTCCTAGATCTGAAGAGAAAGCGTTTTAAAGCATCTTTTGCAATAAGAATGAAGTGGTCAAATGTTCACCTGTATGTTTCAGGTACTTCTCAATGCTCCTGGATGCTCTCTGTAGCACATGTCAAGGGAATAATTTCAACTTGTGCTCTGTGTAGAGTAACAAACTAATTTGCAGAATCACTGCAAATAGAGGACTTGAATTTTGTCCCCTACTGAGCTGGACCACACCTTGGCAACTAGGTCATTTCAACTGTCATTCTATAGACAAAGAAACCAAGATGAAGAGGAATTAGTGATTCCCATGGGTAATTATGGCTACCTGAGAGTTGAATTTAGACTCACAGCTAGGGTTTGAGCCTATGGTCCAGGAATTTTGGTTCTAAACTTTTCTCAGAGCAACTAAATTTATTAGCTGTAACCCCTCCAGATTGCTTGAGGCATAGTTCTTCACTTAAGTGAGTCAGCAAAAGGAGTGTGCTGGAAGATGTAGAAAATATGGATCATTCACCATGAAAAGGAGTGGGGATATACTTCCTGTTTACCTCTGGTCCTCAGATTACTTTGAAATATATAGCATGTGGAGAAAGAGCAGGGAGATTCAAAGGAATGGCACACAGGGGGTTAACCCGGGTGAGTTCCCTTCAGAACACCCCCCCCCCAAGACTTGCCTACACACTTTTACCACATCTTCCCTCCCCTAGGAGTGGAAACTTCAAGTGAATGCTCACTCGTTCAAATTACAGATTTATATCTTTCCAGTCTCCCAACCCACATTTCTCTGCACCTGTGCCCTGACTTAGTTTAGCTTGCATTAGCTTAGCTTACATTTTACTTTTTTTTGGCTAGTGTTTCCTTTACCTTCAACTTGTGTTTTACTTCCTAAATTAAATGAAGATTGTTCTCAAGGGCGAAGGCTGTTTTGCCTGTTTATTGTTCTATTTTTGGTTTATCCTGTGAAACCTTCCCTTATAAAAGCTTGTGGAATACATTGTACCATGGGTCAAGGTTTCCAAGAATGGGTTCTACAGGCTATGTGTGGGAAAGGTAAAAGGGTGGGAAAGAGAGAGGGGTGGTGACTGCCTTGCCTCTCTCTCCACTGTCAGAAGCTAACAGTGTGGCTGCAGTGTAAATATTAACAGTCCCCTAGGGGCTTGCTACTCCAAATGTGGCCCATAGTCCAACAGCATTATTATGGTCCTTGGAGCAGCTTATTAGAGGCTAGTCTCTCAGGCCTCGGGAAGGACTGATAGAATCTGCATTTTAACAAGACACCCAGGTGATTTGCATACATTAAAGTTTGAGAAGCGCAGTCACAATACGTATTATACCATCCAGGGTAAATGAACAAGGACCTTAAGCTGAGCAAATATCCTATTTACCATTACCCACTTTGCGCAACCCCCCCCCCCCCCCGCCGCCTTTCTGCCTTTCTTTTCATCACAAATCCATTTCAGAAACCCGCAGCGAAGTCTTCCGTAGGGAACCCTATTACGTGGTGGCTGGGAGGAAGGTCCCACTCAATCGCTTCGGCTCTGCCCCCACTCCCCATTCCCGTGTCCCGCTCCCAGGGAGCTTTCCACAAGCACTGTTCTCCCAAGCTTCACTTTCTTAGGGAGGATTTTGCTCCTCCCCAAACGGAAAGAGCGGCTGCAGGGAGGGTTACCGCCTGAAGGACTCATAGTTTACATACCAATGGAAACGGAAGCGCTTGGCCAAACTGTCCGTGAGAAGCGAGCAACACTTTGCCACCTGAGCTGGGGAGCAGCCCTCTCAAGCCCCTCCCTTTTGAAATCCGTCTTAAAGTGATATTGAGAATGAGAGAGAGACAGAGAGCAGAGAGATAGAGAGAGAGAGGGAGGGAGGGAGGGAAGGAGAGAGAGAGGGAGAGAAAAAGAGAGAGAGAGAGAGAGAGAGAAATCGCGCACAATAATAAATCCGCTTCAAAGAGAAGAAATGAAAAGGTTATTATGACTGTCAGTCTAGGCATCGCTTTCTGTACCTTTCTGCTTCCTAGAGAAATGGAACCATGATTCTAGGGCGGCTAACGCAAGATTAGGTAAGTATCCAAATTTGTCGGTCCACTTTTGTCTGGAAAGACAGATTCCCGTTACTAGAGGCCTCCCGGGGTACTGTCCAAAAGATTCCCAGGCTACCCTCTGTTCTCTTCCGTCTTCTGAAAACTAAAACTCGCAAAGCGGTGGCTGGCTGTGGATTGGCTAGTACTGAAATATCCATTGGGTGGCAGTAATACTATCCTCTTCATGACTTGCAGCAAACCAGAGAATGCATTCAATCAAACGAACCGATCTTGTAGAAACACTGGAATCATTTATGCATTGCAGTTTCTCTTTTTTGCTTTTGCTCCCTCTTCCCCGGGATATTTTGAGTGGATTGTGGCTATAAATCAAGATCTCTTGCTATTCGTGGTTTTGCTTGTCTTTTTCGCTCAGGATTAGTATCATTCAAGGCAAACGAAAAGCTGCCTCCCCCCCCCCCACCCCCTTTGTCTCTGGCCTCTTGGCTGTACCACCACCTGGTTCCGCTCCACAAAGGCACAGGGGGCACCCGAAAACCAGACCCCCCCCCCCCCACCCCCTTTGAAAAAATCATTTTTGGGGGCTGTTGAAGAGAGCTAGGACCCAGGAGACACCTTCCCAAACAGCAGGGGTTGTGTGCTTTCACATAGCAGTACTGTACAAGGAAAACCCGACGGATCTGTTATTGCGGGATACTTGTGAAATATACATAGGATTGATTCTTTCTTATGGCTGCATTCCGGATCTGGAAATTTTACTTGGGGACCAGGCGGAATTGAAAGCCTACATGTATCCAGAAGATTTGCAAGTGAGACTCCGATTCTTGTCATAGAGCTCACAGACTTCCTCACTTATCAGCCTTTTTCCTTCCTTTTTTTTTCTTAAAAGAATTATTTACCCTGTCCTGTTCCTGTGTTCTCCTCTCTCAGTCACTCCTTTTCTATCTGCCTCTTCTTTTTTTTTCTCCCAGTCTTTTTCCCCTGCTCTGCACCTGGATTGTATCTTTTCCAAACAATCGGGCACTTTGAGAACTAACTGGAGACAGTCTTGTAGGGGAAGATCTGTATGGAATTATCTGCTTTTATGTTGAACTTGGCATTTGTGAATGGGTTCTTGTTCACAATATTAATTGCTAACAAAAACAAGAAAAAGAGCCCAGGAGTAAAACGTGGATTTTTCTGAATACGCATTGTGATGACCAGCAATTACCTTACCGACTAATATCCAGCGGAGAATAATTTGGAAGACAGTTGTGGGTAAGGTCATTTTATATATGCAAACCGCTCAGTGGCATGAGCAAACTTGGGCGTTTGGAATGGGAATGGGTGACTTGGACGGTTGGTTGCTGCATCGCATTGATGGCTGTGATGTGGCCGTTATTGGCACTGAATGGAATAACTGCAGTTGGGTGTGTGTGTGTGTGTGTGTGTGTGTGTGTGCGTGTGTATGTATGTGTGGCTGAATTCTGAGTTTAATTGAAAATAAATCAAAGCATCACTCTCTACCCCAAATTGTTTTGATATGGCAGAGTGTCTTGAATTAATTCTGGGTAAACATTCTTTGTTTAGATGCAATATTTGGGGATCTTGCATTTTGGAGGGGTAGCAGCAGTAAAAAAAACACTTAGTGAAAAGCCCCAGTTCAAATGAAACGAGCTACTCTTTATTCATTAAAAGAAATATGTTTTCAACTCAGTGCAGCATTCTGCTGCATTTCACAGCCGCAATGGGACCAGGGACATCCCACTTGTCAAGTTCCTAAACTTTAAGGTGATAATCATTGTTAATTGTTCACTGCTTGTGGATATTGGAGATTATTAAGTGCCCTGGACTACTTTTCTATCTGTTGGATTATCACTTGGAGTGAAAAAAAAAGAAAATAAAAGAAATGAAAAAGCTGAAAAGGATGACGAAATAGAGACAAGTAGGGCGATATTGCCTTAAATGAGACCATAGTCCTTTCTTTTTCAAGTTTAATTGCCCGATAATATAATTATTTACCCAATACCCTGAATAGCTGAAGCTGCGACCCACGTGCAAAGAAGTCGAAGGTCTGGAAGCAGAGAGGATCCTTTTATTGCAATGCAGCCAGCTTGGGAAATGCAGGCAATTACACACTTCCTTTAACCTTAAATTGAAGATGTGCCCTATCTGTGATTTTACCCTTTTGGTTAAAAAGTTAGAGACTAGAACACTAAGGATGCTTAAGCATATTCTACCCTGGAAATGGGATTAAAAAATTGCTTTTGATGACGTGGTTCAGTGCACTGTACTGCAATGCTAAAGTCCCATATTCAGTACCTCTGATGAGAGAATGGACATTTACATATGTTATAAATCTCACCTGGTAGATTGATCCCAAGGGGAGGGGAGCAGATATGTGAAAATGTAGGAAGATGGATGGAAGTCGTGCATAATCGGTGATTATGTAACTTCATTACATCAGTGAGCTTCAGTCAACGATAGTGAGATGAAATGATTGTATAGAGAGAGGCTCTATCACTCTGTTAACTTTTGAAGGTTTGTAACACCTTACACAGGAGGACAGCAGACAGAGATTAGCTCCAAGGGTCCTGTAAACCTTGATCTCTTCAGCGAATTTAGCATGAGTTTTCTCATAGTGAGTTTCTGAGGGATAGCAGATCATGTAAGCTTTAGGGCTGGACAGAAGCAATTTTAGCCACACCCGTGGAGAGTCAAAATGTGTCCGCAGTGTTTCACAAATGCCCCATTGAGTAATTGGGGCTGATGATTCCAGCCAAGGTCATAGTTCTTTTTCTTAGGATTGAAATATGTGACCCCAACTAAGTGGAAACTTAAATCCATTGAAATGAAGCCTGTGAAGGGAATGACTATTTAGTGTCCTCTCTTGCGTTTTTTTTTTCTGGTAAAGCTTGTTGCAGATTTCAGTCTGGTGGTTCCCTCATAAAAAAATGATGATTGTTTGCCCTGTATGTCAGAAATGAGTGCTTTGTACCTTTATCTTTGCCATGACAATCTCTTTCTGGGTCATTTTAACCCTCTGGGAAAAGAAAAGTAAAAACCTTTAAAGGTAACAATATCTTGTTCAATTAAAAAAATGGCATCAAATTCATTATTAATATAAATACCAGAAATAAAGAGTAGTATATTTTCAAATTTTATTTACTGAATACCTTACAAGGCATATTGCAGTCCCAGAGACTTTTGCCATGAGATGAGACAAATGTACTGTGCTCATTGTACAGAGGAGGGAATACTGCAGAAGGAAATGTCATTTGTTTCTTCATGTTTTATTTGTTCTGTGTTTTTTAAAAAACAAAATGCACATCAGTTTCTTTTGGTCTTGTATTCTTGTAGGGTCTGTTTATCCCTCAATAGATCATATATTCACCAAAAAAATGAAACTGCTGACATTTTAACCCTGTTCAATTGAATCTTATCATCTAGTTGTGCTATTTCCTCTTTCCCATTCCATTTGTTTTACAAAGAAGGATAAATGATTTTTCTGTCAGGGAGATGAGATGATTCTTCCTGTTTTTTCCCTTATTTCTCATAGTCCATTTCTTTACAATCCTACGGAGTTGGGTGCAGGATCTAGATGCCCACTAAGTAACTTTGAAAAGATTTGTTCATCTCAAATCAGAATGGTGGAATTGTGGAATGAAATTTTGAGATCTGATATTTGAGGTGACTTTCGTATTTCTGTAGGACATGCCCAAACATTGATATACTGTGCCAGTGGATTTGGAGGTTTGGTGTTCATATTGTGTAGGAAATTGAATGTAAAGTTAACTCCTGATTCCTTCCTTCAGGGGTCAGGGTAACACTATGACTTCTTCCAGGCTGTTAGTCTTCAACTATATGCAGAAATACAGTCTGCAATGATTTTTCCTGTGTTTTTTATTTGAATATTTTATAAATGACTTCCTCTATTGTTTTCTGACTTAAGCCACACATATGTTACCAAACAAGACATACTCTGAAGGTTTTTAGAGCTCACTAGCTCACTAGGGGATAGAAACCGTACCAGGAAAGAAAAGAAAAGCAGTCTGTGCAAAAAGAAACTGACCATGATTTATATATATGTTATATATATAATATATATATATTATATATATATATCCTTTTAATTGAAGGCTGCATGTACTCACATTAAGATAGTTTCAATCATTTTATCTTTTTTATGGCTTCTTATAACCTGTTACTTTCTTTAGGAAGGGGATTATGTAACCAAGCAAGACAGGTTATGGCATTTTTCTTAAGTATCCTACAAATGAATAATAAAAAGCTTTGCTTAATAGGTAAACATTCAACATGAAGACAGTAAATAACATGAGATATAATAGTCTTCTATTTTATTGCTATTTTGTCGGCCCAAGTAATGCAGTTAGATTAGAAAATATTTGAGGAAAAGAAAGTAATAGCATTATTAATATGGAAGCTACTAATTTTGTTTCCTGACCAGTTGCTTCAGCAAAGTCAGGAGATTCAGCAGATAAGTAATCACAGTATACCTACAACCGGAAAAATTTTAAATGGAATTTTTATTATCTTTGTAATGTATATGAACAAATCTATGTTGTTTTAAATTAGTAATAGAGAAAACATTTTTAGAAACAACTGAACTTTAAAGATTAATTGAAGAATTATATTTAAAAATCTTTTAGTCTGTTAAAAACTGAAGTATTCACAATATACTTTGTCTTACAACAGATACGATCTTTGGTGTTTGATAAATCTCGTGTTTTTATAAAGCAGACTGTTTTAGAATTTGTGGCAACCAAAGAAGCATTGATGAGGAAGGTTTCAAAGAAGCAAGTTTTCTGGTGATGCTAAAGTTATAAAGCATAATTATAATGGCACCATTTGGGCAGCTATAGATAAGGTCGTGTCAGCATTTTTATTATTAAATTCCAATTCTATTTAGATTAGTCATATCAGGAATCTCAAAGCTGAAGGAGTCCAGCTTTCTGAGATATCAAGGCATTGTAGAATTCTGGGCTGAGTCAGAGGGCCTGAGTTGTACTTAGGCTCTGTCAGTTGCTACTCTTGTGACCTCTGACACTGCACTTGAGGTCTATGTTCCAGAGAATCATTAAAAAAAAAAAAAAAGACTTACACATTCCTTTAAAGAAAGGGAATGATGTTGTCTAAGTTCTTACCACCATGCTGTACCTTAGAAGTATATGAAATTATTATTATTAAGGATTCCCTCAAGTCTTATGAATTTAGCAGAGCTTTTCACATGCACTAACTGTAAATCTTTATAGACATCTAGTAACAACTACAGTTAGCTGGTAGGTATTGCCGTGCTGACTTTCACTTCTCAGTTTTTTCTCGCAGGAGTACTCATGGGAATATAGTTGTCTCAAGTAATTAAAAAATAGTTGCTTTTGAATAACATTTAAAGAGCAGTAACTAAGACTTTTGTATGTGAGAGGGTTTTAAGAAGATTGCCTTTTTAAATGGCCCCGAGTACTGAGGAGACTCTGTTTTTGGTACCAAGAATACACAAATGTACACAAATAAACATGATGCTACCACTTGAATTGAGTCAGTAGACCACAAAGCTACTCCCAGCTGTCATTTCATTAGCAAATATATAATGGGCCTGAATGCTAAGTAGAGTGTAATAGAGGAAGTGAAAACATAAAGATACCAGTTCTATTTAGAATTTTCTAGTTGCAATAATTACTAATGTTCTTTAGGGGGAGGCAATCCCCCATGTGTTACTACTAAAGCTGCATTTCTTTAAGGTTCAAGTATCATAACATAAACATATTTACATAGATGAGAAAAGGATAGTGATATGACATTCCGTATATGTTTTTAAGTGTCTGCATAGATAAGCTGAATGTAAGATTTTTATATTTTGAATAAAGGAGAGTTGGAAATTAAAAATTAGCCCTGTAAAAAACAAATAAATGTACATGGACTTAAAATAAAGAACTTTTATGTTATAAAGCAATCACCTCTTCCTAACTTCCCAGTGTTTTGCTTTTTATGTTAAAGATCCTCAATATTTCCTTGTTTTACATGAATTTGATCATGCATATTTATCAGGCTCTGTTGATGCCTATGAATGGCAAACATTTCTTGATTTCCAATATTTATAAATGTATATTCTTTATGTCTTATAGAAACACTTTAGATTTGTTCTAGCAGATTTAGAAAAGAATATAATGGGAATGTAGACAGGCTTGTTTATTTGACAAATTCAGCTAATCACCTTACAAATATGCTTTTAATTTTCACCCAGAGAATGCCACCCTGGA